CTCAAGTATAGCAGGGATTGTGGGGCTGGCGCGGGATCGGGCAGTGTTTTGTTCTGCTGTGCATGGGGTGGCTATGAGTCGGAAATGACTCGACGGCACTTAACAACAACAACAACACTATTGTAGAATTGTCTATTTCTCCATTCAATTCAGCTGATGTTTACCTTATGTATTTTGGAATTAACATTTGCTTTATGTATTAGGTGCTTAGCCTAAGCACTTGACTGCTAACCAGAAGTTGGCGCTTCAAACCCACCAGCCACTCCTCAGAAGGAAGGTTGGGCAATCTACTTCTGTAGTGAGACTGCCTCGGAAACCCAAGGAGAGGTCACTATGAGTTGGGTTCGACTCGACAGCACATAACAACAACAACAACAACAACAACATGTTCTCTTAAGGAGCTCTGATAGTGTACTGGTTAAGGCCTTTGGCTGCTAACCAAAAGGTCAGTGGGAACTCACCACTCACTCTGTGGAAGAAAGATGAGACGTCTGTTTCCATAAAGATTTACAGCCTTGGAAATCCAAAGGGGTTTGCTTTGAGTCAGAATCAGCTCGATGGTAGTGAATTTGGTTTTGGTAGGTCCTCTTGGTCAATTGACCCTATATTATGATATAATGCCCTCCTTTGTCCCTTAAACAGTTTTTCCCCTTAAAGTCTATTTTATCAAAAATAAATATCATCAGTCCTGCTCTTTTTTTGGTTGCCATTAGCATGACATTTCCCTCCCCCCATCCCTTGATTTTTAATTTATTTTTATCTTTGTGTCTAAGGTGATTCTCTTGTGGGAAGCAGATTGATGGATCTTTTTTTTTTACACAATCTGCCACTCTCTCTTGATGGTGTATTTAATCCATTCACAGTCAATGTAATTAATTATAGGTATGAGTTTACTGCTGTCATTCTTTTGTGTTTTTTGTTTTGGTGTTGATAGTTTCTTTGTTCTGAATTTTTTTTTTTTTTTTTTTATGCTGACTTCATTTTCCCTTTTCTTCATGTTTGTACGATTTTTTATTCCAACCAGGAATGGATAAGGATTCCAATTTCCCACATTTGTTACTTTACCAAAATTTTGTTGTTTTCTGTTTTATTTATCTTAGCTACCCAGTGGGAGGAGCTCTGATAGCATAGTGGCTAAGACAGCTAACCAGACGGCTGGTGGTTCAAACCCACCAGCCACTCCTCAGAAGGAAGGTTGGGCAATCCTACTTCCGTAGTGATACTGCCTTGGAAACCCAAGGAGGGGTCGCTATGAGTCGGGGCTGACTCCACGGCACATAACAACAACAACAACAACCCTAGTGGGAGTGAAATGGTATCTCATTACGGTTTTTATTTGCATCTCTCTGGTAGTTAATAATGCTGAACATCTTTTCATGTGTTTGGTGGCCATTGGAATATCTGTCCTCTTTGGTGAAGTGTCTATTCAAGTCCTTTGCCCATTTTATGATTGGGTTATTTGTCTTTTTATTGTAGTTTTATATATATTTTGCTTGTCAGGTTCTTGCTGGATATATGATTTTCAAAGATATTCTCCCAATCAGTAGCTTTTCTTTTCACTTTTTTTTTTGTAAAGTCTTTTGATGAACAAGTTTTAATTTTTATGAGGTCCCATGTGCTTTTCTATCTTTTGCTGTTTGTGCTTTTGTCATTATATTAAATAATCCATTGTTAAAAACTGGGCCTGACTGGGTCACTCCTGCTTTTTCTCCTAGGAATTTTATTGTTTTACTTTGAACATTTATTTCCTTAATCCATTTTGAATTTTTTTTATGTATGGTGTGGGATGTAGCTCTGGTTTCATTTTTCTACATGTGGAAATCTAACTTTCCCAACACCACTTATTGAACAGACTTTTCTTTCCTCATTGAATGGACTTAGCATCTTTGTCAAAAAAATCAATTGGCCATAGATATGTGGATTTATTTCTGGACACTCAGTTCTATTCCATTGATGTATGTGTCTACTGTTATTCCAGTACCTGTTTTGATTACTGTAGCTGTATTGTATGTATTAAAATCAGGAAGTTTGAAATCTCCTGGTTTGTTCTTCACTTTCAACATTGCTTAGCTGTTAAGTGCCTTGTAGAGAAACTTTTAGATTTAATTGGTCTCAATTAGCTATTCTACTACCCAGAGTAGGCACAGAAGAGCAATACCTTTTACAGAATCCTCTATAGTCAGGCATCTATTTCTCACTTGGGTGTGTCACATATACCAATAACACTTTAGGTAACTGTGTATTAATCTTGAACAAGGCGGTTTTACTCTTTTTGTAAAAATTGTTTCAGATTTTCAGATATTCCAAATTACAAGAAGCTGGGATTTCCAAAGGAAGAAACAAATTTCAATTGAATTCAGTATTTAAATACAAACAGCTCTCAAAGAAAATCACTCATTTTGAAACTTGATACCTTTTGAAGGACTTGACTCATGACACTCCCCCCCAATGCTTATGTTGTTGTTGTTGTTATGTACCGTCGAGTAGGACCGACTCATAGCGACCTCTTCTTGGGTTTCCGAGGCAGTATCACTACGGAAGTAGATTGCCCAAT